GTCATCTATTTATTTTGGGATTACGGCGGCGGACGTCAGCCTCACTGTTGGCTTGTTTAGTTTGAGTCATTCTACATGTCTATGACTAGTCTGTGTCTACAGTTGTATGCCGTCTATGACTAGCTATATTTTTATTTTGAAAAATTCAAACATTTTTCAGATATTTAGCCATGTGTGCCGCTATTATTTCATGTGTTCCAAGGTGTGCCGTTGGCAAAAAATGGTTGAGAACCATAGGCGTACGGGCTCGATGACAGTTAGGGGGGCAGAACCCGAAATGCCCGAAAAAATTTCGGGTTTACAGACAGCGGCGTCGGTCTTCCTCGAGAGGCGAAGAAACAGAGCTTACCTTGCATGCCCCCCCCCCTCAAAGTAAATTTTGGAATATTTGACGGCTGCGAACACGTTTTCCTGCTATTTCTGTTCTTAAACAAAGTGGTCTATTATAGCCTAATTAAGATGGCTGACTCGAATTCCAATTAAAAGATCAATCGTTTACAGAACACGAAGACGGGACCGTTAGCAGAAAATTTAACTGCCGCAAACGCGTTTTCCTGCTATTCCAGCCTGTGAAAACAGCAACTTCAATTTGGTCCAATATAGCCCACCTGACTGATCCGAATTCCAAACAACCAATCAATGGTCGCGGAGAAAATTTTGAAAATTGAACCACCGCATATGCGTTTTCTGCTATTCTAGCCCGTGTAAGAAACTCCAACAGTATCCAATGGTTTTGTAACCTAAATCCCAATTTGAATTCCAACCATTCAATCAGACTGTTCCAGCTGCATTCACAAATAATAATCCATGCCCGAAAAATGTCGCACAAAGTAGAGTGGCTCCAGACAAAATTTTTTAATCCATAGTCAACTCAGTACAAATTCGTGGTATTCAATTAAAAGATAAGTAAAATTAGTGTTTTATTAGGGCTCGGTGACAGGGAAGCAAAACTAGAAGTGCCCGAAAAAATTTCAGGTTTACAGACAGCAGCGCCGTTTTCTTCGAGAGGCGAAGAAGCGGAGCTGACCATGTAAGGACACCCCCCCCCCCGAAAAAATTTTGGATTTTCTGACGGCCGCAAACGCGTTTTACTGCTATTTCAGCCCGTAAAATTAGTGTTTTATTAGATTTCGGGCACTTTATTTTGCCAAGTAGATGAAATAAATTTTTTTTTCACTTTACCCGTCTGCCCGAAAAGTCAGCTTGCCCGAAAGTTAGGGGGCAGCTGCCCCCCCCCCCCTGCCCCCCTGGCTCGTACGCCTATGTTGAGAACCACTGCATTGTACAATGGTTATTGATATTCCACTTCAAACCACAAGGCTCGGTTATGTCTTTTCGGGAAGGAATGTCGTGTCCTACAACAATATTGTTGATATTATTATGGTCTGATTTGTATCATTGACTTCAATGTTAAGGGCAAGGTAAAGTGACAAAAATTGCCATAACACCTGAAATAGGGGGTCCTCAAAAAATCATTCACAACACCTTTAGTGCCTTTATTTTGGCATCTAGACGTGCTTGAGGTGACACTGAACAATAAATAGTGGCTGAAAATCAAAAATAATGACTTTGGAAAAATATAAAGCAAATATACCATTCAGCACTGCGCAGCTACCGGGTAAACAACTCAACATGGGAAATCACAAAGTCTCATAGAGATACCTGAATATATACACTACAACCATCAAGACTTCAAATTTTGAAAACTATCTTTGTTTTAGCACACCATGTCCATATAATTAAACTTTTATTTTTCAAATATCCTCCATTTTTTTCAAGGGACTACTTTCAGACTTTTTTGTATGGAGTACCATCATAAACATCATTTGGATTAAATGTTTTGAGTCTGTATGGAATATTGTAAATACTGCATCACAATTTCCTTCAAACTGCTATTCGTTTTCAGCAATTTTTTTTTATAATGAATACACATTGTTATCATTTGTATTACTTCACGTGGTAATCGGCTGATTGGGACCATGGCAGATTGGGACCTGGCTGATTGGGACCAGATTCTTGGCTGATTGGGACCAGATTTTTGGCTGATTGGGACCACGACAAGGATCATTCGGACTATTATTTAAATGACGAGAGTATTTAAAATATGTTTGCATATATTTGATAATAAGACAAAAATGACAATAAATAGTGTAATTAGTGATTGATGGCTTCAATACAAATGAGCTAAATCACAGAGAAGATGCTTCACATTCTTAGATGATTGGGACCAGATTCTTGGCTGATTCGGACCATGATAAGGCCAATTTTAAAGTAACTAAGTCTCTATCTCAATATCATCCAAAATCTTCAACATTGAAAACACGATTTATTTGTCAAATTAAATCAACATACATGTTGTGATCTTACCGGAAAAAGATGGGCTTTTGATATCCAATATTTAAGACAAAATAAACATTTTACCATTGGTACACGAATCGTGTACCATAATGCGCTTCAGTCCCAGTTGTATCAAGAGACTCGAGGGACGAGGCTAGACACATTGCACCAAATCAAACGGCGAATGTTGACTGAAATAACCAGACGCTGGCTTATTTCGCCGAACATAACTGATTTGAAATTGGAGTAAAAACGGAAACCATTGAATGTTAATCAGTTTAAATACATTCATATTACAGTATTATATGCGTTGCAACCCACATTTGTCAATTTCTAGGTCCCAAATGTTAGCGATTTAGCTCCTTTAAATCAGATCAATGACGGGAGTATTTAAAATATGTTTGTATGACAATAAATACTACCCAGTTTATCAAATTGTAACCCAATATCAAATAGCCTCATACCAGTATAATTACTGCAACGAATGCGATATTTGGTAATGAATGAAGTTGAAATAATGACAGACAATTGGCACAGGCATCTTTAACCAAGTTTCAAGGAGCAATGATGTGAGCACATTTTCCATCATATTTATATATTCTGATAAATGTAATCTAACCAGGTAGTCACCCGATTAGATTTTATTACATACTTCGAGAAGGTATTTGTTGAGTAATAAAACCTTCTAGTAGTTTACACAAAATATATATAATGGATTCCAAAACAAGCTATGAAGTTTATGAAATAAAATAAAAATGGCATGTTAAAATTGCATAAAACGTATAATAATTTACATAAGATTAATGAGATAATCTCTTTTAATACAGACACTGTGACATCAAAAATGGAATATAAACATAAATAACGTACATAAAAGCACATAATTAATATAGTCACACTATAGCCTAGATAAAACTCCTTTAAACGTAATTCAATATCAAAACCTCAGTTTCTAGTATTTTTTTATCATGTGGTCCGAATCAGCCTCATAGTGGTCCGAATCAGCCTGGAATGTGGTCCGAATCAGCCATGGTCCCAATCAGCTTGGTTTCCCCACATTCAATAGTGGACTATAGTGTACAATCTAAGACTAAACAATGTGTTGAATGTGAATAAATATTGAATAGAATAGTGGACTATAGTGTACAATCTAAGACTAAACAATGTGTTGAATGTGAATAAATATTGAATAAAATTTATAACAAATTATTTTACTGTAAAACTTAGTAAAAATGTTCAATCTTTAATTGTCAGTACATCTTTAGCTTCCTGGCACAAAGTTTCAAGGGGTGAATTAAGGAAACTTTGTGCCAGGAAGCATAAAGATGTACTGACAATTAAAGATTGAACATTTTTACTAAGTTTTACAGTAAAATAATTTGTTATAAATTTTATTAACATTGTATGTACGGTGATGTTAATGAAACCTTTGCATATCTATACAATGTTCCGCTAAGCGTTGTCAGTTTAACGATTATTCGCATCACTCGTCTAAAGATATGAAGGGTCATTTTCAAGATTGAAAAAGAAAATGGCGGATCCAAACCCCGTGGTAGCAAGGAAATAGGAAAGCAACTCGAAAATCTAAGACTCGACTACTGTACTACATTATAGATCAGAGTATAAATAGAGAGATAATAGCTGTCCCCAAGTTTTATCGTTTTGTCTGTAGATGTTGTGGTCAACAAGATCAAAAGCACTATAAACTATAAGGCATAGTTTACATACTAAAATTACTATCACAATCAGACCGAGCGGAATCCCTCACCCGTTTTTCAGCACCCGGATTCGAGATCAAGTTAGCACACATATTCCTAGCGCCAACAAAACCTTAAACAAACATCTTCATAATAAGAAATCCAGAAAACTACAAGAAGCCATCCAAATCAAGAGATTTAAACCTGAACTAAATAGAGACGAGGGATTTTTTCTCCCAAGGAGTTATGATATCTTAATTAATCCTTAATTAATAACTTTCATGTCCATTTTGTAATGTTATTACTGCTCTGTTTATTACCCCTTGGATGGATTCAAATCTTAATTAATTAATCCTTAATCAATATCTTTGATGTTCATATTGTTATTACGACTCTGTTTGTCAGCCCTGTGATGGATTCACATAGTAATTTTTAATTAATTGTTTAATCAATATCCTCTATGTTTATTTGGTAATGTTATTATTGTACTTTTTTTAGCCCTTTGATGGTTTCATATTAGTTATTGTTTTTTGTTACCTTGTTGTATATAATTTGATTTCTTGCCATTACACTGTCATTACTTACTTGAGAACGACAAGAGGAACTTGTTGAAACGTAGTGTGAAATAAACCCAGTGATTGCTTTCCATATAAATTTGTGTTTTATAACTAATTATATATTATGTTAATGAAGACCAGGCGTTCATATAATAATGTAGGGTCATTAGTTTTATTTAGAATCGTTCATTCGTTCCCGGAATTTTATGTCCACGTGATATGGTAGACAAGTTATTGTGAATGTTGTTTGTTAGTTGTATATTACGTCCGCTTCCACCGAGGTGATATTCGTTCGTTCGTTTCTGGAGTTTTACGTCCACTTCCACCTAAGGTGATATCGTAGACAAACCGAGGTGATATCGCAGTATAAGTATAAGTTCAATAATAATAAACATAACAGAATGAAACATTTCAGACAAAGAACGAATAGTAATAATAATAACAAAATCAAACATATATATGTTATACATATTTGAAATCAGCGAAACATACTACAGATTTTGATAATTAAATATAAATAAATCATTCAGTAAATGGACATGAATATGGTTATCTACCCATATAAAAACGGAGGCGAAACGATTGGTTTATAAACTGTTTTCTGATTGTTTCGTAGATTGTAGCTACATTCTAGGCCAGGGCAGATAATTTGAAATCGTGGAAACCCTATGGATTAACCCAGGGTATAGTGGAGTAGAACGGAATGAGTACACTGGGTAACCGAGGATGGGTGCTGGAATACGGGTGAGAGATTCCGCTCGGTCACAATCAGAGCTAAACAAACTATTAAAAGATAGACCTAATCACGGACAAAGAGATCATATAACATATAATACAGTCTTAAGAGCCATGTACAGTGTTTGTTTTGAACCTTTTCTGACCATATTTCTATCATTTGTTCTTTTGTATAGGGTTGTCCAGCAATTTGATTTTCAAACCAACAAATATCCACAGATGGGTCGCTGTAACCGAAGTCTCGGCGATGAACCAATTTAACTGCAGCACGCTCCCTTACTATACCATTAATAAAAACATCTTCTACAGAATTGTATTTTGTCTGTAAAGCAACACTGAGTAATTTGCTTGTTATATCTCCGGATATAACGTAGGCCCGTCCAGATGCATAATTTGGATAATGCGCTAATGGATAAGCAATCCCGTCCGTGTACCACTTTAACTTTGGGTTTCGAACAGGCTTCGCGAACGAATGGCGATATCCCATAATCATATTTCTCCTGTCATGTTTACGTAAATCTTCGATCAAGGCCGGTAGGTTTATAAAGACATCCACATCAACCTTTAGTACATATTTTACACCCTGACAAAATGTGCTGGCGAAACGAAGAATGGCTTCCGATTTAATACTGAGATTGCGGTAACTATCGTAAAAATCCTCTTGAATAATATCGTGGTAGTTTTCACTTTCAATCTTTAAATCATGATGGTTTATCTCTGAACGATATCCCAGCATAAAAACCAAACGTATTTCTGTATTATTCACAGCTAACGACCCCCAGGTCTTTCTTATAACCCTTCTTTCTTCAAACCCAGACGTTTTTGAAGGAACTGCTATTAATAGAAATATTTTTTCTGGAAAAGGTTTACAAATCTCCGATTCATTGATAAGGTATTTATAGCTGTGGGTTCGAGTGTCGTCAAGAGAGTGTTGGAAAACGTCGATGGCATACTGCACGTAATAAAGTCTCAAAATCAAAATAAAACAACAAATAAAACCAATGGCCGGAGCTATTAATCTATGTTTCTTCTTAAGCCTTGGGATAAACATACTACACAATACAACACAGGAAACTGTAAGTAGAAAGATATATTAAACATACATTATGAAAGAGCTAAATTTGCATATTGCACGTCTTTCTTTAGGCCTGAAATGTTATCTAAATTATTAATGAACTCTCGATGGCATCGGATTTTTCCGATATTAAATAGATTAGACTGGTTCAGTGATACTTTGATTTAATCAAATATGGAGGACCGAGACTTAGCTTCGATCCACCAGTACGGTGGTTGAAATTATTGAACACGTCTTGTCAAACCTCCAAAGGCTAATATCTTCACTCGCAATAGAGTAATTTGAATGAAATTTTCAAATTATTCATTTTACATTATCTTTTTTAGAACTATTATCTAAATTTTACATAATGCATCTTTGAAGGAGCTAAATCGCTAATATTTGGGACCTAGAAATTGACACAAATGGGTCGCAACGCATATAATAAAGTAATATGAATGTATATAAAGAGAGAGGGAGAAATGGGGTTTAATGTCCACTCGACACCAAATAGGTCATTTCGGGACTAACATATGGTTCAATTTTATTTCAATAATTCGCTTGCGCGTAGGGGTCTTTAGCAGTGGGAGGAAACCAGAGGACCCGGAGAAAACCCACGAGGCTGGACAGGCGACCCTACTCCTTGTCACGTACAACCGGTGAATCGAAACCCCGCCAGTTGACTCAATGACAGACTTTATAATACAGCGCGCACGTGCTAACCATTCGGCCATCCAACCCTCCGAATGTATATAAACCGATTTGCATTCAATCGTTTCCGTTTTACTCTAATTTCAAATCAGTTATGTTCGGCGAAGTACGCCAGAAGTCTCAATCGAATGGCAATCTCTAACGTCTGGTTAGTCCATTCTACACCGATCGTATTTATTGCGCATGCTGTCCAGATAAGAATATGGGGCCACCCTTTGACATGCCTTGTGGAATATGTTTAGCTTCTTTCTTCGAGTCCCTTGTTACAAATGGCGCTGAAACTCATTATGGTACACGATTCGTGTACCACTGGTAAAATGATTATTTTGTCTTAATTATTTGATATCATAAGCCCATCTTTTCCCGGTAAGATCACAACATCAATGTTCATTTAAATTGACAAATAATTCGTGTTTTCAGTGTCGAAGACTTTGGATGATATTGAGTTAGAGACTTGGCTACTTTAAGATTAGATATTGGTTGGGATGTAAAAGCATCACTGATTCGGTATTGGTTGGATGGAGTGAGTGCGCCTGACAGGCAGCAATAAATCTGCTCTTCACTAGAACCTAATTTTCTGGATTATCCTTGGATTAATCATTAGGGAAATTTGTGATACATAACACAATGTGTTGAGGATTCTTTTGGACTCAAAATTGTCGAAATATATGGATAGATTATGCATATTCAATGGTTTATTTTACTTCTTTTGTGTCTATTTGGTGAACTGTTATCAGAATGTTTATGTGAGCCAGCTTTTAGCTTACTATCAATCAATAGGATTATGTGTTTAACATACTCAAGAGAACAACTTTTTGATTACAATTCGCATTTTAAACTCAAACTTAATCCAACAGTATTTAAGAAAATAAACGACTTACTAATAAGTGTTCACACTTCAACAAGAAGGGGTAAACGCAGTGGGAGAAGAAAACAAAAGCCAATACAAGTGATTAGTAATATTTTCAGTAGATCTCCAGTTAATGCAGTTCAACAGAGGTGTGTTGAGAAATCAAATCTCATTCAAATCCACCTGAAACCAAAATTTACACAGTTTGACACCAATTTAAATACAAACTCAAATGACTTGTCTGCTAGATTTTGGAATGCGAGGTCAGTAAGAAATATTGTGGTGTAGTAAAATTGCCCAGTCTCCCTTGTGTCTATAATGGACTGGGACAGTTTTAATAGTGGGCTGGTCCGATGCATGTGATTTTAGAAGTTATAGAAGGCCACATTCATATGCGCATGCTCTCTCACTCTGAATAGCAAGTTCTCTGCCCTCTATGCTGAGTTGGAAACCTGTGTTTGACTAGAAGTGTAATAAGAGTTTGTGTTGTGGTGTAAAAGATATTAAGAGATCGGTTGATAAGTAACCTTTTATCTATAAATATAGTGGTGAAAATATACTTTACTGTACTGGGGAATCACCCCTTGACCCATCAAGCCTTACTTGGCCATCACAGGTTAGGTCAATAGAGGGGTGAAGCCGTGGGGCTTAGACCTGATCTAAGTGTCAGATAAACACCCGATTTTACAATAGTGGAATGCGAGGTCAGTAAGAAATAAATCACTTGAAATTGCAGACACACTTATTGATGATAACATTGATATATTATTTATCACAGAAACATGGCTAAGGGAAAAAGGGGACGAAGTTGTCATCTAGGAGATGACCCCTCCTGGATACACGTTCAAACAGCTCCCACGTCAAACAGGTAAAATCGGCGGAGGTATTGCAGTCATTTACAGTAAAGATCTACATCTTCAATTATTAAACTCCAAAACAACATATCAATCCTTCGAGCATCTAGAACTTCTAATCACAAAGGAATCAAAATCTGTACGGTGTGTTTGCTGTTACAGACCACCCCCTTCCAAGAAAAATGGACTATTAGAATCACTATTCTTAGAGGAATTTGCAGCATTTTGCTTATCGATTAATCTAAAAAATGGACAACTGGTTCTTCTTGGTGATCTTAATATACACTTCGATGATGTTACAAAGCCTTTGTGAAGAAAGTCTCTAGCGATCTTTTAGAGGCATTTAGTAACTGGATAGAGCAATAAACTATAACACATACTTATGGAAGAACAATTACTGATTTATTTGGGCGAAAACGTTGAGAGAATACCCTTCGAAACGTCGCCCAAATAAATCAGTAATTGTTCTTCCATAAGTATGTGTTATAGTTTAAAGTCTCTAGCCTTCTACAATCTCATGGTTTTAGGCAGCATGTATCTGAACCAACTCAAAAGTCGGGCCACACCCTAGATTATATTATAATAAGAACCACAGAAATTGCGGCTTATGACATCTCAGTAGAAGACAGACAAGTTTCTGATCATTTCTATGTGAACTTTAAATTAGATTTTAAGAAACCATTACCATCTAAATCAAAGGTGAAATATCGCCAATTTAGGAAAATTATATTATCTGACTTACACGATGACCTCGATTCATCAAAACTCTGTTCAAATCCGCCTGAAGATGTTGAGGAGTTGGTTCAACTATTTAATGCAACGCTCGAAGATTTGTTGAATAAACATGCACCACAAAGTGTCAAACTGCTTAGGAAGAAGCCTAATTCACCCTGGTATTGCGACAAACTTCGTGATGCAAAGGCCCGCAGGCGATCAGCAGAACGTAAGTGGAGAAAGTCGGGGCATTTAGAAGTTTATCGACAAATTTATGTGAGTGAACGTAACAATGTGAATAATCTTCTTCGAAATACCAGACAAATGTATTACAACAACGAGATATACTATTCAAAAAAAGTAGGGGATATTTGATTTTTAAGTGTTATTAAAGTTATGAAACTGACGAAGAAACAAATGACAAAATGAAATGAAGTTCACATTCATCGATTTATTCCAAATGATCGTTAGACTAAGTAAGGCACAGACTGACCATTATAAGGGTAAAATGATACCCGGGGTCAAACAGCAAAGTTACCACAGCATCACAACCAAGTCAGTAACGGGTAAATCCTCCTCTGTTTGCCAAACAAGCATTGATCCGACGTGGCATACTCCTAATGAGACGTCTAAGGTCATTTTGGTCCAGATTGTCCCATTCCTGTTGCAACGCAGCAGCAAGTTCTTGGACATTGGCAGGACGTTGTTGACGTTGACGTAACCTCTGTCCAAGCATGTCCCAGACATGCTCGATGGGGGAGAGGTCGGGACTCAGTGCTGGCCAAGGTAATGTGGTGATGTACTGTTGTTGGAGGTAACCTGTAACGATCCTGGCCCTGTGACATCTTGCGTTGTCATCCTGGAAGATGAAACGGCGGCCATGACGTCGTACGCCCTGCAACAACATGTAAAGCCGTTCTTCCAGCAACAGTGATGCCTCCCCACACCATAACAGAACCACCCCCAAATCGATCATGTCTGATGACGTTAACGTCTTGGAAGCGCTCGTTTCGACGACGCCACACCCTCCTACGTCTGTCCAAAAAAATCAACAGTGAACCTTGACTCATCTGAAAACATCACATTGCTCCAGCGTCGATTATCCCAGTGTTGACGATCCCTACACCAACGACGTCTTGCCTGAATGTGATGATCTTTCAAACAAGGGATCACGCGAGGACGTCGGGCGCGAAGGTGATCCCTATGCAGTCGATTCCGAATCGTCTGGCCACTCACTCTCACACCAGTGTCTGTTTGAAGACGAGCGCTGATCTGATTTGCTGTGATGACACGATTTCTCAAGGCCAAGGTACGGATAAATCGATCCTGGGCTTGAGTTGTCGCCCTTGGTCGACCTGAGCGTGGTCTGTCCTGTACAGATTGTGTATGACGGTATCTGGACCATAGCCTGCTTATGACAGACTGAGAAACATTCATCGTCCGCGCCACAACCGCCTGTGTTGTGCCGATCTGTAGCATGCCAAGGGCACGTAACCTTTCATTTTGGGTAAGCCGACGCATATCAAAATTTGTTTTCTGGTCACTAAAACAATTAAACTGATGTTTCCACCCTGGAATTCAATGCCACAATGACTGTAACATTCAAAGTCAGAGTCGTGCAAATCTTGGGTTGGACCCCCATGATGATCCCAAGCATCACCTGCATTCCATGCGGTAGCTATTGGTGCGTTTGGGCGTCACATGTAACTGAAATGTTTCTTCTGTTAGGTTCTATAGTGACTTTTTTCGTAGTCATTTGCATATTTTAGTATTATGCCCCCAAAATCAAATATCCCCTACTTTTTTTGAATAGTATATTATCAAAATCTAAAGACCCAAAAGCTTTGTACACAACTTTATCTACTTTATTGGGAAAATCTTCCGATGTCGTTCTTCAACAAATAAAGGATATTGACGATGCTGGTCTAGCAAATGAATTCAGTGAATTCTTCTCGAATAAGATTTTCAAAATTAGAAAGGACATCGGTACCTCCACAACTTCGAAAGGAACTGGGCAGGATAGATATTTCTCAGGTAGAAAATTGGATCATTTCAAACCATTCTCAGAGGCCGAGATGCTAAAACTCTTGATGGAATCTAAACCAACCTGGTGCTTGTTGGATCCTTTTCCTACAAAGATTTTATTGCAATGTACTGATACCCTTCTTCCTGCGATAACTAAAGTAATCAATTCTAGCCTCCAATCTGGTATTGTTCCTGACTCTTTTAAAGATATAAATCTGATGGTGGATGATGGCAATCTTGGACTGTTGGTTCTCCTCGACCTTTCAGCCGCATTTGACACTACTCCTAGACCGCCTCCAGACATCTTTTGGATTGGATGGCTGTGTGCTATTGTGGTTCGTCTCGTACCTTACAGGTCGCAGACAGTTTATTTCGGTTCGCGATTCATTCTCAAAGGAGGTTTTGTTACCATGTGGTGTTCCCCAGGGAAGCGTGCTTGGTCCAATTCTGTTCACATTGTACACGTCAGAGTTAGGGAGTCTTATCAACACACACACTGATGTAAACCACCACCTCTATGCAGATGACACGCAACTGATGAAAACGTTAGACCTGTTAGCTCAGCAGCGTGATATTTCCAATATGGAATATTGTATCCAAGACATCAAAGCATGGATGACACAAAATATCCTGAAACTAAACGGTGACAAGACCGAAGCGATAGTCATTGGACCACAGACTCGTGTGAACAAACTTAACTTTAACCACTTAGTAGTCGAAGAATCTGAAATTACTCTCTCCCCGTCTGTCAGAAATTTAGGTGTCCTCAAAGATTCTAACTTAAGTATGAACAGTCACATCAATGATCTTACCAGGAAATGTTACTTTCACCTAAAAAATATCAGTCGGATTAGAGATTATCTAACACCCGAAGCAACAAGTACACTTGTCCGCTCCTTAATCCTATCCCGTTTGGTCTATTGCAATAGTCTTCTTGGTGGTATATCTAAGGAGTCTATCAAGAAGTTACAAAAGATACAAAACACTGCCGCCCGGATAGTATCTCGTTCCCCACAAACTTCTCATGTATCACCAATATTAAATTCTTTACACTGGCTGAGAATACAGGAAAGGATTGATTTCAAGATTCTATCGCTGACCTATCAATTTGTTAATAACCTAGCACCATCTTATTTAACTGAACTAATTCAAAGTTACAAGCCTTCCCAGTTGGTGATCCCAAGGTGGAGAATGAAAACATTTAGGGCAAGAGCTTTTAGTTTTCTTGCTCCATCAAAATGGAACGATCTTCCAGTGTTCATCAAAAGTGCTCCTTCTATTGAGTGTTTCAAATCCAGATTTAAAACATACCTATTTCAACGCTATATCTAATTTAAAATTGTGTGTAGAAAGCGCATAGAGCATACTTTAAGTGTGGAATTGACGCTATACAAATGTTCATATTATTATTATTATTATTATTATTAATGTTACAGTACCACTGATTAGATACTGGAATTGACGCTATACAAATGTTCATATTATTATTATTATTATTATTATTAATGTTACAGTGCCACTGATTAGATACTGGTTGGGATGTGAAAGCCTCACTTATTTGATATTGGCTGGGATGTA